TAAACCGTACTGTGAAAGTTCAGATCAAGTGCGGGAAAGAGAACTGGTTTGTGTGGCAGTGTGATTAGCACCTCTGAAAGCTGGAGTGGGGATTGCATTCTGTGGGAGAACACTAATGTGTAGTGAGGGCTTTGAAGCCTTAATTTTGCTGGTTATCACTAAAACTTATGATTTCCATTCAGTTCTCAAAATTTGTGAAGTAGCCAAACTTCTGCATTACTATCATCCAGCTGTGGTTATAGCATAGACTTGAAAAATTGTACAGTACCTTCAACTTCTATATTCCTTAAATTATTATCTAGACTCACACCCTTCTCCTTCCTTTTAAACATAAAAAGGAACATGCTATGTGTCATACAAAACTCTGCTTCATTCCTTATGCCTTCCTTTTTTTTGAGACAGGGTCTCCCTATGTAGTTTAGGCTGGCCTTGAACTCACTACGTAGCTGAAGGTGGCCTCAAACTCCTCCTGCCTCAGCCTCAAACGCTGGGATTACAGCTGTGCACCACCATGCTTGCATTCCCTTTCTTTTATTTCTTCCATTTTTCTTTTTCTTTTCCCTTCCCAAGCCTCCCCTACCCTTATCTTTCTTTTCTTTTCCTTTCTTTCGTGATGGCAGGAGTGACCCTCAGGCCTTTGTGCCTACTAAACATACTGTATCTCTGAGCTATACCCCCAACCCCTCTTCTCATTGCCTCTGTTGCCCCTAAAAAAAAAGAGAAAAACCAAAACATACAAGCTCTGGCAAATTTTATTACAGATTTTGCGTGATTTAATTTTCCCCATTCTGCTCGGTGACACTTCCATGTCAGAGCCTCGGGGTGATGATAACCAGTGTGCACACTGCAGTGTTTTTCCTGCTGCACCGCTCCAACATCATTGCCATTTCAGCGATGGGTACCACTTTTGGCCAGCGCAGTATAGCGCTGTTTTGGGTATCCTCACACCTGGGCAGTAGTTGGCAGCAGGGCTGCTGTCATTTGGATTTGGAGTGGTCCCCCAGGTCTTGTATGTGAAGGCTTGGTCCCCACCTGTGCTGCTCTTGGCAGGGCCCTGAACCTTTAGGCGGCAGGGCCTAGAAGAAGGACACCCCGGAAGCCCTATCAGGTCCCTGGCTCCTTCTCTCTTTTCCCGGCTGCTGTGAAGCGAGCAGACCTCCTCTGCCATGCGTTTCTGCTGCCTGCTGCTCTGTGCCACCACAGGCCCAGAGCCCCCTGGGCCAAGGACCCCGACCTGAAACTTCTGAAATTGTGCACCAAAATAAATCTCCCCTCCTTTTAAAGTGCGTATCTTTCGCTTTGACTTGTCTGGTCATCAGAATCCATTTGTACCCCTGCGTGTAGTTTCCAGTGTTGACAGCGAGTGGGAGCCCAGAGGTGATCAACTCTAGCGACTTTTTCTACAAAGCAAACGTTAACATGGACCTGAAGCTCCTGTTTATCTCTGCCTCAAAACTGGGTCTGGCTTTGGAAGCTGAGCCTTTTCACAAGATTCTTGAAGTTGAGGGCCCCAAGGTGAAGGCAGAGGATGCACATGGGTGTGTTTCTAGTGTGAAAGCGTGACAGGAACAGAATGGTAAAAAGTAAATTATGCAGAAATCTTTAATAAAGTTACACAGAGAGCCTCTTGGGTTCCCAAGACCATTCAAATGTCAGTGGGTGTGGTGTTCCCATGTCTGTCTTAAGTTAATAAAGTTTAATTTTTAGAGCAGTTTTTGGCTTATAGGAAAGTTGAACAGAGGCAGAGCTCCTGTATACCATTTGCTTGCTGTTGCTACAACGTTTCTCTGTTGTTAGCATCGTATTAGCATGGTTTGGTTGTTACAATTGATGGATGATCAATATTAATACATTTATTGTTAGCTAAGTTCCCCAGTTTGTTAGGGGTCACTTTTTGTGTTATCTTTTTGGGTTTTGATAAATGTAGAATGTCTTCTAGCTTTCCCTTCAGTATTCTACAGGATGGCTTTATGGCCCTAAACATCTTTCATGTTTTACCTTTCTTTTCTCTCTCCCACTCCTTTAATTGGCGGACACTGATCTTTTCTGTCACTGTACTCTAGGTTTTTCCACAGGGTCATATAGTTGGAATCCTACAGTGTGTACCTTTTGTGTTTTGACTTAGAAATATGCATTAAGGTTTTTGTGTGTGTGTGTCTTGATAGCTCATTTATTTTTCTACAAAATAATTTCCCATTGTATGTACATACCATGATTTATCTATTCACCTCGTAAAGAATATTTTGGTTGAGCAGTTACGAAGCTTGTGCTACAAACATTCATGTCCAGGTTGTTTTGTGGGCATAAAGGTTTTAGATTTTCTATCTTGTTTAGCTCTGTAAGAAGCTGCCAAACTCCCTCCAAAGCAGCTCTACAGTTTTGCATTCTTATTAGTGGTGAATATGCATTTATGTCACCCTACTTATCATCAGTGGTTGGTGTTACTGTTTTAGATTTTAGCCACTCTAATAGGAAAGTTGTAGTATTCTGGTTTTTTTTTTTTTTTTTTTGTCTTTTTCATTTTTATTGGTACCAAGGATCGAACTCACGACTGCCTGCTTGCAACGCAGGCGCTTATGCCGCTGAGCTAAATCCCCAGCCCCGGTATTCTGTTTTTATTGTCAATTCCACGATGATGTGTGATGCTAAGCATATTTTATACTGCTTGTTTGCCCTCTATGTGTCTTTGGCGAAGTGTGTGTTGGTATCTTTTGCCCACGTGTAGATTGGGTTATTTTCTTACTGATTTAACTGGTTTTTGATATATTTTAAATACAAAACCTTCATCAGGAAAGTGTTCTGCAAATATTTTCTCCCAGCTTAAGACTGATCTTTTCATTGTCTTCACAGTGTCTTCCACAGAGCAGAACTTCTTAATTTAGTGAAGTTCCTCTTGGCAATTCTTTTTTTTTTTTAAACATTGTGGGTGAGGCTTTGGTGTCACCGCTGACAAGCGAAGGTCGTCTTGTTGTTGCTGTTGTCCCTTCTATGTGATTGCCTAAAGGTTTTATGTTACCATTTACATATAGATGTGTCATCCATTTTGAATTAATTCTTATGAAAAGTGTAACATCTGTGTCTAAATTGTTTGTTTTTGCTGGTGGATGTTCATTTGTTCTGGCAAATACTAATCTTTATTAAATTCCCTTCCCTCTTTTCTTAAAGACCAGTTGAGGAGTTGGAACTGTAGCTCAGGGAGAGAATGTGTGTTTAGCATGTTGTCAAGCTCATGGCCTTGAATCCAATCCCTATTACTAAAGCAACAACAAACAAAAAAGGCCACTTATCCATATTTTTGTCAGTCTGTTTCTGGGATATCTGTTACTTTGATCTATTTGTCTATTCTTTTTTTTTTTTTTTTTTTTTTTTTTTTGTCTTTTTCGTTTTTTATCGGTACCAGGGACCGAACTCACAACCACACACTTGCAAGGCAGGCACTTCTGCCGCTGAGCTAAATCCCCAGCCCCTATTTGTCTATTCTTTTATAAATTATAATTTTATATAGAATACATCTTGAAGTCAGATAATGTCAATACTCTTTTTTTTTTTTAACATTGCGTTAACTATTCTGGATATGTTGCCTCCCCATATAAACTGTATAATCAATTTATTAATATCTATAAAAGAAATTTTAATTGATAGATAACATTATGTATATATTATGTGTAACATTTTTTCAAGTATATCTATTGTCAAATTACTAAATCTATGTATTTGATATATATTACCTAATGATATTTTTAATTTACTGAAATTTTGATTAGGATTACATTGAGGTTTTTTTTTTTTTCCCCCAGTACCAGGAATCAAACTCAGGACCTTGCATTTGTGAGGCAGGTGCTTGTGCACTGAGTTTTTATGCAAAGCTTGAAAGAACTGATGTGTTAGTGATATTGCTGTCCCAGCAATAAACATGGGACATCCATTTATTTGATCTTTTAAAAATATCTGTCCTGAGTTTTGCTTTTTTGGACTTGTCAGTTTAATTTGGTGATCATTCCATTTCAGCACACATAGATACACCTTTTTTTTTTTGGACCAGGGATTGAACTCACAACCTTGTGCTTGCCAGGCAGGCACTAATGCCACTGAGCTAAATCCCCGGCCCCTACCTCACCATTTTTAACATTTCATTGTGTGGTTATACAGTATTTACTTAGCCATTCCCTTTTTGTCCGATGGCTGGACTATTCCCAATGTTTTCTGTCACAAGCAGTACTGCAGTGAAAGTCGCATGTAATTTATCTTCACGCACATATCTTAGAATAAGTTTCTTGGCATAGAGTTGTATATTCAAAAGTATGTACAATATAAAATTTTTTCTGCCAAATTTCTCTCCATAGAAGGTGTATAAATTTATACGTTGAGGACAGGACGTGTGACTATTCATTTTCCACTGCCATGCTAATGTAGCAGGCATTAGTTCTTATAATCTTTATCATTGGAGTCCATGAAGAATAGATCTGAGTATTTATTTATGTTTCATCTTAAAGTGGGGTTGAGCCTTTTATCTGCTCACAAGTCCTTTTGTTCATCACAACTCCTATTGATAAAGACAATTATAAAAAGCATTCTCTGGACAACATTTGGATTATGACTAATTCACAGTGTGTTAAATAAAATGTAAGTGGTAAAATATTTGAGATTTTTAATTTTTCTTTTTAAATGTGAGAATTTAGTGTTTAATTTTAATTCATAAACCACTGATAACCTTTTATGAGTATGTGAAGTAATTTTAAAGTTAGTTACTTTTAAGCTGGATTACTACATGGCTTCTCACACAATTTAAATACAAATTATTTGATGTTATTAATAAAATGTGGTACTATGTAATGAATATCATAGAGTTAGCATATGTGGCTACAGTGAAAGCTTAGATTTGTTACCTTTTAAACATTCCTACTGTGTGACATCCTCAGAACTGCTACTTTAAAAAAAGGTTAAAATAGATATTGTATATATATTTCTGCATGAAAAATAATGTATTCTGGTTGTTTCAGACCCGTGGATATCTGGGCCTTAGGCTGTCTGATCATTGAGATGGCCACTGGAAGTCCCCATCTTCCCAGCAGTTCTGATTTAGATTTGCTCTATAAAATCGTTTTAAAAGTAGGTAGGTATTACTGAAATATCCTGTTACATATTGAAACAAGTATTGCCAGATCAGTTCCGCTTGATCTTTAAACTCAGTTTTTCTGCACGGGAACAAGGAAGCATATTGTATTGATAGATGATGGCAGGTGGCCACCTGGGACTGATAAAGAAGGTGCAAAATTCTGTTTTTACAAATAATATTTTCCTTGCCAGGCTGCAGCTAGCTAAGCCATAAGTTGTAAAGTTGAGACAGGTTCTCAGTAGATCACTGAGTTGCTTCTGCTGGACTCAAAACTTATGATCCTCCTGCTTCAGCCTCCCAGAGTGCTAGGATTATAGGTCTGTGCCACCACACCCAGTTCTCATTAACAAGAACAACAAAAAGCCACAGTAGATGGCAAGGTAGCTGTGTTTGTGTGTTCTTTAACATTCTCATTATGACGCTAATGTTAGAAGGAATCTTAGAGGTGATGGGATTAATTCTGTCATTTTACAGATGAAAAAACCAAGCCATAAAAATATGAAAGTGCCCGGAGTAGTAGTGCACACCTGTAATCCCGGCCTTCCAGGGGCTGAGGCAGGAGGGTCACTGTGGGTTGGAGGCCAGCTTGGGCTACATAGTGAGTTCAAAGCCAGCCTAAACTATATGCAACATAAAATCCTGTCTCACACCACCCCTGTGCTCACAAGAACAGGATTTTCTCAAAAGTCATAGAACTAGTTACAACAAAGCTGATTCTGGTTCTCTTCCCTTCTATTTAGAGTTCTTTCCATTTTACTGGCACTCTCTAGCATTGTTTCTTCTATACAATATTTTTATTTCTAAGTAAATTTTGATATTTTAGCTGTTTTGTCATCCCTGTTGTTGAAGAGCACTTGATAGTTAAACCATTAAATACCAGTAAAGCAATGTATAAAGTTTGAATACATGCTTTTCCTAGTAGCATCACATACAATGTTTTAATAGTTTGGGGAAAGAAAATGATCCTGGAAGTTGACATATTCTTCTACCTATGTTATCAACAGCTCCCTTAGGAGGCCGGGGAGTTAGCTCAGTGGTATAAATAAGCGCAAGGTTGTGAGTTTGATCCCTGTTACCAAAACAAAACAAGTTTTCTTGGGGTACCTCATTTTTAAAAATTAAATATTTAGGGGGCTGGGGATTTAGCTCAGCAGCATAAACGCTTGCCTTGAAAGCAGGCGGTCGTTAGTTCGATCTCCGGTACTGATAAAAAGGAAAAAGACCAAAAAAAAAAAAATTATATATTTAGATAGTTTCTTGTTCAAATTCTAAACATTTAAAAATTGTAATTGATACAGTTTGTCTCAGTTTTTAATAATTTAGTGTATACCACGAAGCAATTTGATTATTTTGATTATAGAATTATTTTTCTATTTTCTTATAAACATATTTTTTACTTTTCAGGCAATTTGACACCTCATCTGCAGAATATCTTTTCCAAGAATCCTGTATTTGCTGGAATGATCCTTCCTCAAGTTCAACACCCCAAAAATGCAAGAAAAAAATATCCAAAGCTTAATGGATTATTGGCAGATATAGTTGATGTATGTCAAGGGATTATGAATTCATACCTGAGGGGCCAGGGATATAGTTTAGTGGCACAGGGCCCACCTGGTGAGTGTGAGGTCCTGAGCCCCAGAACCAGAAAGAAGAAGAAAAGAAAAAGAAAAAGAAAAAGAAAAAAGAATTCATACCTGAGGAAGCTGTATAAATTACTTTTTTTTCCCTTTGTACTGGGGATCAAACTCGTGACCTTGTACTTGCCGGCAGACACTCATGCCACTGCGCTAAATCCCCAGCTCAATAAACTACATTTTTAAAGTATTACTCTAGTGAAATGCTAAAAGGATTCCTGAAGTAATGTTAGTCTGTTAAATTTACAAAATAAATAAAATTTATAGACTGTTAGAAGTCCCAAAGATAATCATGTACATTATTTTTAGTTTATCCCAATTTTAATGGTAACTTGGGATAAACTGGAAAAATTCTAAAGCCTCATGTTTACCACCATCTTCTTTTAATGTACAATCTAGCCAGGTTTGGGATCTATTTGTATGTGGTATCTTAAAATATCTATAGAGTATTGACTGGCAGCTCTAGTTTTGATGTTACTGAATGAAAGCATTTGTATAGCAGTGCCAAAATTAAATGGAGAAAACAAACATGCTATAGCCTTTTTTATTATTTTCAGTGTTACATTTCATTTAAACTAGGTAGGAAATATAACAGCACACTTTATTACACAATTCAAAATATAAGATGGATTTAGTGTGAGTAGTAATCTGCTTTTGTTTCTTTTCTCTAGCCAGTCAATTTTTTTTCAGCCAGTCAGTACCAGGAGCAGTGAATTTGTTTATAATGTATTGTGCTTTCTAAAGAGTGATTCCTAGGGCTGGGGATTTAGCTCAGCAGCATAAGCATCTGCTTGGCAAATGCAAGGTTGTGAGTTCGATTCCCAGTACCAAAAACAAAGAGAGTGATTTCTTAAATTTCAGAGCAAACAGAGTACAGTAATTTAAAAAAAGAAAGCTAGGGGCCAGGGATATATCTCAGTGGCTCAGCCCCTGCCGGGCAAGCTCAGTGTCCTGAGTTCAATTTCCAGTCCCAAAAGAAAAAGAAAAGGACTTTGGAGTCGCAGTAACTATGCGGAAAGCCCTGATCTGCTACTGCTCTGTGACTGGGTGAGTCATTTAGTTCACACCTCAGTTTACTGGACTAATGACCGCAGTACTTGCCGTCTGAGGCTGGAGAATTAAATGAGCTAGTTGGAAGTATGTTTAGCACAGACTCCAGAATAAACTGTCAAAAAGTGCTTTCTTTTAAAAAAAAATTTATTTTGAGACAGGGTGTCACTGGGTAGTCCAGGCTGGACTTGAACTCCCTGTGTAGCCCAGGTTGGCCTCAAACTCAGATCGATCCTCTTGCCTCAGCCTCCCGAGTGCTGGGATTACAGGTATGCACCACCACACATGGCTTGAGAAGTGTAACTTTTTTTATTGGTACATTTTAGATAGAATGGTCATGTTCATCATAGGGAATTGTACCTATACATGATACGCATTGCTGTTCCTTTTTTTCCCATTCCTCTCCCCTCCCTCCAACCATTTTTTCTCTCTGTATTTACAGAAGGTTTGTTTCCAACTAATGTTAATGTAAGATTGTTATTGCTGGTGTTATGCTGATATATACAGCTGAGGGCTGAGCAGACAGCTCAGTGGTAGAGCACTTGCCTTGAATGTGTGTAGTCCTGATTTGATTTCTAGTTCTGCAAAAACAAAAGAATATCATTGAAAGGAAAATTATTTCACTGGTACCTGGGGAAACCCGGAGTTTATTAAACATCACACTTGTTTATTTCATTTTCAGTTTAATTTTTCTTCTTGTGTTGTAGACCTTGAAATACAGAATAAATGCATAAGACAAGTCTGTTGGTATAGAATTATAATCCCAGAGGCTGAGGCGGAGGATCACAAGTTTGAGCCCACCCTGATCAATGGAGCAACTTAGTGAGACCCTTTCTCAAAGTATAAAATTAAAATTGGAATGAGGATGTAGTTCAGTGTGAAGAGCTTGAGTTCAGTTACCATTACCACACACACACAAGAGAAAAAACAACTACATAGTAATTATAGAAAAAATAGAAAATGGGCAATAAACAAAAGAAGTTAAGTTTTCTTCAATTTATTTCTGCAAGCCAAAGGAAAATTATCATTAACATTTGATTTCCATGTTTTGAGCTTTCCCAACCCAGCACATGCGTAGAAATTAATGCTGTCATCCTTTACATTGTTATGTAAAGTGTTTCTCAGTTAGCAATGTACTGTAGCCATACTATTATATCAGTAAATATGCAAAAACATTATAATTCTCCCCACTTCCTCTGTACTGATGACTGAACCCAAGGCCTGGCACATGACAGGCAAGTGATCCAATACTGAGCTATACCCCCAGCCTTTTTCTTTTCTTATTTTGAAACAAGGTCTTGCTATATTGTCAAGGCTCTATCCTTGACCCTCTTGATCAGTCTGCTCTGTAGCTGAAATTATAGGCATGCACCATTGTGCCTGGCTTGCATCATAATTTGCAGTGGCTGCATAATACTTCATTGTATGATTATACTGTTAATTTGTTTTTCTGTTTTTACTTTTTTTGGGGGGGGCAGGGTCTCACACAGTTCAGGCTGAACTTGAACTTACTTTGTAGCACAGGCTGGTCTCGAACTCACAATATTCCTCCTGCCTCAGCCTCTCCAGTGCTGGGATCACGGGCATGTGCCACCACCCCCAGCTATACTGTTAATTTACTTAAGTGACTTTGGTTTTTTGGACATTTAAGTTGTTTTCAGTTTTCCCTTCACTGTTGGTAGAGATGTTACAATGAACAAGCCTAAGACTACACAAGTTTAATTATAAATTGCTAGAAATGGGATTAATGGGTCAAAGAGCTTGTAATTTCTAGAATTTTTGCTATAGTTTTTTCTCAGAAAGGCTTTACTGTTTTATAGTCCCAATCTCATTGTAGCATTGAATAGCATAATTAAAAAATTTTGGGCCAACTAAATAAGCTAGAGATAGTATTGTTTTTTAAAAAATTGCATTTAAAAAATTCCTGATTAGAGGAAGAGGTTGGACATTTTGCTTATATTTATTAGCCAACTCTATTTCTTTGAAAACCCATCCTTAACCTACTTGTCAATTAGAGTTCTTAGCATTGTCATATTGATTTATAAAACAAGTATATTCATTTGTCATAAGTTACAAATATTTTTAATAACCAGTAGCTAGAATAACCCAGTGATTCTTAGTGCCACATTTATCATAGACAAAATGCTTTTGTCTGCTTCTGTTTCATTGATTTCTTTATTTTGAAATTAGTTCCATTTTAATTGATTGCTTGAACTTGAAAGTACATTTTACTATCTGGTGTAGGGCATGTATTTTTTTTCTAATGTATACATTTTCTAAATAATTTTTTGATAGCTAACAGCTAATATTCTTAAAATGTATAACTTGCTGAGTTTTGATCGGTGTATAGATAGATGAAACCACCACTATCAAGGTACCTAATATTTCCATTACTGTCCAAATGTTTTTTGTGTCCTTTTGCGGTTCTTCTTTCCTTCCATTTCTGTGCCCAGTCACTGATGTGCTGTCTGTTACTTTGGATTTAGTTTGCATTTTCTGGAACATTTTATAAATGAGCTCATAGAACAAGTACTCTTTTATGTCTTGATTTCTTTAACTCAGCACAGTGGTATAGAGCTTTATTTATAGCTACTGTGGAGGCTGGGCCAAAGGATCTTGAGTTCAAGGCCAGCCTGAGCAACATAGCAAGAACTTGTCTCAAACAAAAACAGTCATTCATGGTTTTGCATATATCAGTAATTTGTTCCCTTTTTTAACTAAGAAATATTCTGTTATATACATATACCATACTTTTTCTTGTTTTGAGACAAAGTCTTACTATGTAGTTCAGGCTGGTCTTGAACTCATATAGCTCAGGTGGCCTGGAACTTGAGGTGATCCTCCTGCCTCAGCCTGCTGAGTGCTGGGATCAGAGGCATGTGCTACTATGCCAGCATATATGTACCACACTTTTTAAATCCATTCCTTTGTTTTTTAGTTTTTTTTCCCATTTTTACATTATAAATTGTCATGAACATTTATGTACAGATTTTTATGAGGACATACATTTTTATCCTTCTTGATTAAATATTTAAGAGTAGAAAAACTGGGTCCTACAGTAAGTTTATGTTTCATTTTTAAAGGAATTGTCAGTGTATTTCCCAAAGTGTCATATTTTACATTTTCCAGAGGACATATATTCAATTTTTTGAAAAGTATTGTTCACAGACACACTGCATCTAATTGTGTACTTCTAATCGACTATGATTTAGGCAGACCTTTTGGCATTTTTCTTATTAATGATTGATTACCATGTTTTGGAGTAAGCACATATTTTTATTATTTATTTATTTCTTTATTGATTCCAAAAATGGAACTCATGGCCTTACACCTGCCAAGTGGACCCTGTACCCCTGAGCTATGTTTCCAACCCAAGCACATATTTTTAACTAGTTGCAGTTTTAAGAGCCTAGAGATTTTTACATCATAATGTATGTAAAAGACTGTTTCACTTTGTGAATGAATCATTTTAGTATTGCAAAATACCACATAATAGGAGATCCACCCTCTGACCAAACTTTTAAACGTACAGCGTAGTTTGTCTACTGTAAGCACATTATTGAGCAGGCCCCATGGAAATTGTTTTGTAAATCAGTTTAAACTGTACGTTTTTTGTTTTGTTTTTTAAATCGGTACCAGTGATCGAACTCACGACCACACACTTGCAAGGCAGGTGCTTATGCCACTGAGCTAAATCCCCAGCCCCTAAACTGTACGTTTTGAAATAAACAGAACCATAATATTGTAGACATTTTCCTTATTTTTTTCTGGATTGTAATTCTGGCTCCCCTATTATGAAATCTTAGACAAGTTACCTCTCTTTGGTCTCCTTATCTGAACACTGGGCATAATAATATGTAGTTTGTATGGTTGTTGCTGGGATGAAACGATAGGAAGATGCGAGAGCATTACCTGGTGCTTAGTGCAAGCATCAATCAGGGTTACCTATTATATTTTGCCTTCTTTCAAGGGAAGAATGAAAATTGAAAAGAAGCTACCTTTTATTCAATTCCATCATCAGTATTGTAGTTAGGGAAATCTGTCCAATTCATAAGTACACAGTTTAGTTATTTAGTTACATATAGTTTCATTATGCACAGCTTAATATTCAGAGCTTTCCATTAATTTTTTTTTGGTTTGTTCGATTAGTCTTTTGGTTGTTTCTCTACAACTGAAGTAGTCCCAAGGCAGCAAACAGAAAAGATCTTTTGTTTTTGTTTTTGTTTTTTTTCGGTACCAGGGATTGAACTCACGACCACACGTTTGCAAGGCAGGTGCTTATGCCGCTGAGCTAAATCCCCAAGCCCCTGTTTTTGTTTTTTTGAGACAGCATCTAGTATGTAGTTCAGGCTGGCTTTAAACTCACTATGTACCCCAAGCTGTATGCACCCCAGGCTGGCCTCAAACTTGTAGCAATCCTCCTGCCTCAGCCTCCCAAATTCTGGGATCACAGGTGTGTAGCATCATGCCTGGATAGAAAAGATATTTTCTATTGGTGGACCACTGAAGGATTTGGAAGCCTGAATATTTGCAAAATTATGCCATAGAAAGAACACTGGGTGGGGGGTTAAGGTTTCACTTTGGCAAATCACTGTGCTTCCAGACCTGTAAAATGAAACTGATTACCCATAAACTTTACACCCTACAGGACTGAGGGTCAGAACAAGCTGAGTAGTTTATGTTAATCATAGCAGAAACAGAATTACTTTTATTTTGCTTAGAATCACAAGACATTTAACCCATAACAATGCTTGACAAGAGCAAAGCTCTTAGGGAAACAGATGGTTAAAACTTCCTGGGATCCCATTCCATTTTTTCAAGAACGCTTTTAGCTATAAGTTACTCTTTCATTTGTCAAGTGAAGTCTTACTCTGCTGAGAACTCATTAATGTATTAAAATTGTTTTTCTTTTCTAGGCTTGTTTACAAATTGATCCTGGTGAGAGGATATCATGTACTGATCTTTTGCATCATGAGTATTTTACTAGAGATGGATTTGCTGAAAAGTAGGTATTTAAATGAATATGGCCTTTTAAATTTTTTGTTTGTTTGAGACAGGGTCTTGCCATGTAGCTCAGAAGGCTTGCCTAACATGTAAAGCTATGGGTTGAATCCACAGTACCATGAAAAAATTATATCTATATCTATATCTATGTATCTGTATTTATCTATATGGTTGATATTACTTGTTTTTTCAGGTTCTTACCAGAATTAAGAGCTAAATTACTACAAGAAGCAAAAGTTAATTCATTGATAAAGTCAAAAGAGAATTATAAAGAAAATGAGCTATTAAAAGATGAAAGAAAAACCATTTTTACCAATACACTGGTAAGTACTTCAGTTTTGGGAAAGGTAAGAACTTTGGTTTTTTATTTCAGCCAGTATAACCACATTATAGTTAGTAGTATTCTTACGACAAAAATAACTGCTGTCATGATTCAGATTTTGCATATATCTATTTTAGGACACAGAAAAAGAGAAAAAGCCCAAGGAGATCAAAGTCACAGTTTTTAAAGTCAGAGAAGGAAAAGGAGATACCTCAGAACTGCGAAAGACAGAGGGTGAAGGTAGACACGGCCATCAGGACACAGCGGAAAATGTTCATGCTTTGTCTCAAAACACAAAACCTGCAGTCTCCAACCCCCCAAACCCTGCCATTGCCACCGCCAGCTCCAGTGATGTGAAGGAGGAGCCCCATGCTGAAGGCTACAGGATCATGCCGCCCATCAATCTTACTAACACGAATTTGATGGCTGCAAATCCCAATTCGAACCTCTTCCACCCCAATCCAAGGTGAGACTTAGTGTGATGCTCGTCCGTATGGAATGTCAAAGAATGACAGCTATAGTGTCAGTACATAAACCGAGCTTGACAATCAGCTGCAATTATAATTACAGTGGGTCATCTACTCAGCACTGCTTATGAATGCAATAAAGGATATTAACTTTCCATGGAAAATATAGATGTTTGATTTTTATTAACATCTTTTTGGGCAAACCTCACTTTTTAAAAAAAAAAAAAAAAAAAAAGGTCCTTAGAAAATGTCTTCCATTTTGAAGATGCTATGGTTTTCACACACTTTAGTTGTTGTAGTCTGTTTTGTGTTGCTCTAACCAAACACTTACCTGAGGCTGAGTACTTTATAAAGAAGAGGTGTTTGGTTCATAATTGTGGGGACTGAAAGTTCCAACGGCATGGTGCCACCAGCCTGGCAAGTCCCCTGGGGTATCACAGCATGTCAGCCAGAGAAGTGGGCAGGGAAGCGGCCACATGCAGAAGAGGCATGCATGAGGGCAAGAAGCAGGAGAGATCCAGGGGCAGGTGCCGGGCTTCCTCATGAAAACCTCCTCTCATGAAAATTCCCTTAGAGCGAGAATCTCCGCTCAGCACCAAAGCATAAATCCCTCCCTTAGACCGAATCGCCTCCCGCTTGGATGGACCCCATAAAGGACCTCATAAAGGTGCCACCTCCTCTCCTAAGAACCTACTTCTGTGTAGCATAGGGACCTTTGGGAGACAAACCGTACTTAAACCGTGGCACTTGGTGCCCAAGCTAACCTTTATTTCTGAGTCATAGCAAATTCTCCAGATGGAGAAGGGGCAGCCACGAATAGTCTTTCATAATCAAATAGCTTTTCAAGGCCAAGCTTTGGAGAGGAAAACAGCATATTGGGATAGTTTTAGGTTGTAGCCTCTGATGCAGATGGAAAGTTTGATGAATCCTGGGTGCTATGATGAGTGGTCTGCCTAGCAAGACCTTGGGTCCAGTTACACATTAGGAAAGACTACAGCAATTTAGGTAAGAAGGGAGACTAGATTCATAACCCAGGCAGCTACTGGCAGACTCATGTGGGCTACAGGTTATGGGGAATAATGGTCTGCAGAGGTGGGCAGGTGGATTTGTCTGTTGGTTCAAAGATACAGCGGATGACAGATTGCAATGGCCTTGTTGAGTGATGGCGAACCTTTTAGAGACAGTGCCTAAATTGTAGCCCAAACCCACTTATTAATCAAAAAGCGCCAACACTGCCTCATAGGCACTGTTATCTATTGCTCAGCTGCTGGGGTGATGCTCATAAACTAAGAACTAGAAACCCAAAGGCTAAGAGGACTAAGTTCAGAACAGGCAGAAGCGTGGAGAATAGTCGGTCAACAGGGAGAGCTCATGTTCGTGACTCACGTTAGCCATCCATTAGGGTTCTCTACCTGTCACCACCTCTCTCATTAGAGCTTTTGCCACTTGAATGCTGTATTGCCAATTGCTTTTTGGTCCTCAGTAGTCTAACAGTAGATATGCATCGTATAAATTGTCCTTTCGTAAAACCAAGACAAAGACACTTCTGGGGTCTGATAACTTGTCATTTATTTTTGAATAATAGGTTAACTGAAAGAGCGAAAAAGAGACGCACTGCTTCGCAATCTATTAGACAAGTTATATCTAATAGCAGGCAAGAAGACGTAGGGCCAACTCAGGTGAGAAACAAGCCCGTCATTAACACATGGCCTCTTTAGAATTATCCCCTCTTCCTTTTCTGTGTTTTGGGGGTCAGCATTTTAAAAGTCTGTTTAGTTTTGTCTTAGTCACTTTTCTTGTCACTGAGGTGGAGTATTCCACCCCTGCAATTTAAAGGAGTGGTTTATTTTGGCTCACAGTTACGGTTCAGTATGCAGGCTGCAGGGAGAAACAGCGCGGGAAAAGGGGCCCTTGAAAGAAAAGCTGCTCACTCACTGTGGCCAGGAAGAGACAGAGGAAGACGTTGGGGAGGAGGTCAGCCCGAGACCGAGACCGAGACCGCCTGCCCCACCAGACCCCACCTCCTTACTGCAAGTCAGCTGCAGCAACCCCTCAAGCCCTCCTCCCAGAGGCCATCTGGATACAAACTACCAACAAGTTTTTTTTTTTTTTTTTTTTTCCTTTCCATTCATTTTTTTCTTTTGTGGCACTGGGGATCAGATCTAGGAACCTGTGGATGCTAAACATGTGCTCTGCCTTGCCCAGATGTCACTTTGTGTATTTAATATGCAGGCAGGGAAGAGTAAGTTAGGATTTCCACCTTTGAAAGTCAAGAATTTTGGTTTTTTGCTTCCAAAAAAGTTTTTCATAACTTATTTTATGAATTGAAAACAATTTCCAAATAGATACAACTTACTTTTACCAGCAAATAGACAAATCAGTATGAGCCCTTAATTTTTTTTTTTACATAGGAAAATGGTTTATTAAAAATTGAATAAAAATTTAAAAACACAAGTCTAAGGAGCAGGTTACTGATTAGGCTACACTTATACAGTGAATACCACACATTATGTTGTAGAAGTGTTCATTGATTCTAGAAAAGTTTTATGCTCTGTTGTCAGAGTAGGTACATACAAAAGGTTTCCAGATGCCAAATACACAAGAGCTTTTTTTCTTTAGGTTTTCCTGTGCCCATAAAACATGTGGTATTTTCCTTTTTCTTTCTTTTTTTTTTTTAACCAGGAATCAAACTCATGACCTCAAGCTCCCCAGGCAGGCACTATACTGCTGACCTATGTCCCTGGCTAAAGCATATCATTTTATAAACAGAAAAATAAGTTATTAAAAATGAACTGAAGAAATTTTCCCGAAAATGCAATGGATAATATCAAGTTTAATGAAACTCAAATTATAGGGGTTGGGTATTTAGCTCGGTGTCCTAAGTGCCTGCCTGGCAAGCCTGAGGTCAAGAGTTCAATTCCCGGTACCACCAAAAAAAAAAAAAAAAAGAAACTCAAATTATAAAGAGCAAAATAAGAGAGAGATCATAGGAAACGGAGACAGATCTCCCTTAAATGAGCAAGGGATAAAGAGGGAAGGGATGAGGGGCGAGGGGAGGGAATGATATGAAGACAAGAGTTACATGTGATGTGTACATGTACCAACTCCACCCAAAGATTGTAAACATATGCTGCAAACATGTACTGATAAAAATAAAAATTAAAAAAGTTAAAATTGGGGCTGGGGATTTAGCTCAGCATCTTAAGCACCTGCGTTGCAAGCAACCAGTCATGAGTTCGATCCCCGGCACAAAAAAAAAGTTAAAATTGTGATTCTCACGACCAAGACTATTACTCTCAGACTGTTAGGCAAACTAAAATGTTTGTTTTATGAAACTTTTACTAGAGCTTGATCTATTTATATGTTTGATGGTATGTTACTCTACCTAATTATTAAATTGTTATACTTACTTTGTATCATCCAAACGGCTATCAATTCTACACTGTAATTCTACAAATTGTTATGAGTATTTCCTCACACACTATTTGTTCGGAGCCAGATGGAGAAGAGTATCTTCAATGAGCGCACAAGTCAAAGTGACCAAACAGCAAGTGGCTACAAAAGGAAGCTGAACTTTTGCAGATTTGATAGGAAAGAATTCCATTTCCCTGAGTTGCCTTTCGCGGTACAGTCAAAGGACATAAAAGGAATGGAAGGTACACCATTTGTTGTCTAGCTTTACAAAGCTCCCCATGACATCATTGACAGGACTTTTTGGTAATATCACTAACATTTTGTAGGGTGATTTAGGAAGCTAATACTAAGCTGCTGAGAAAAACAATTTTGGCTGATAAGATTTTCCCCCGTAGAGTCAAATAAAAGACGAGACTAATGGAGTTAAAGAGGGGGCAGGACAGCTTAAAGGACTTTTTTCAGTAGCTCAATGCTGTTGCAGTGTTAGGTCACTTTCTGAGGAAAGTACTTTTGGCTCAGTAACTGACATGGAGTGTTGGGGTCTGTGCCTACAATTCCAATCCCCCAAACAGGCACACAGCAAAGGCCCAAAGGAATGAGACAAGTGGCATGGTCTTTAGGGCTTCAGGAGGACTAATGTCCCGTGCAGAGCTCATATCTCTGTTAGCCCATCGACTGACTGACCCTGGGCAGCTCGTGTTTAATCAGAATAAGCAAGGAGCTGAGTGGAAAATACAGGAAACCTGAGCAGGTCCTTGGGAGGGGTTCAAGGACCGCTCAGAGCAACAGACGATGCTAATTAAGGAAAACCATCCAGAAAGTCTCCAGGTGGCCTCAGCTGTGGCCTACCCTGCCTCCTGAGGTGTCTCCTCATTCTCAGCTGAGCCATGCCTGGGCTGCACCACAGCCCTGCACGTGTGTTCAGCTTCAAGGGCTCGACAGTGGAGCCAATCATCTTCCTTCGTTTCTCCATGATTATCTCCATAGATTTCCAAGGGTTTATATGCACTTTGAGCATCCAAAGACGTGGTAGAATAAGTCTATTAATTTCAGGTTTATCTTCATCTTAACTTGAGGATTTGTCATAAAATAACTCATTTTTTTTGCTCAGGTACATAAATATTCTTAAGGTTCTTTGAAGAATAGTGACACCTTGTGCAAATATGATAAAATAGCAAGAATGTAGTACTTGTGTAATTCAAGAGGAATAATGTGGTCCACTTAACAGTTGTATTCAGAATAAAAATAAAATAAATGTCTATTCTAATATTTGGTAGCCTATTTGTAAAATTATAAAACAAATAATTTGTCATACTTTAGTATTGCAGCTCATGATTTATTTAGTTCCTTTATAATAACCAAAGAAACTGATTAGGGGATGTCAGAATTTCCATTTCAAATTTTTGAACAAGAAAGTAAAATTTCAACACAGAAATTTAAAAAAAAAACTTCACTGTTTTATGTTTTTTTTGCAAAAGTGAAACAGATAAAAGTACTGAAGAGGGAGTCAAAGAAGACAGATTCATCTAAAATACCGACTCTACTTAATGTGGATCCGAATCAAGAAAAGCAGGTAAAGCTTGTGTCTATGGCTTCCACTAAGGAGTGTTGTTTCGAGTCCTTGGCTCACATATAAATTTAGCTGTTGCTATTGGAAAGCTAACAAAATTCAAAACTCTGAAACCTTCGAACTCTAGAAGCAGATCTATATTTTCCTCAAATAATCACTCAGTGTCTCTCTCTCCTCCCCTCCCCTCCTCTTCTTTCCTTTCTCACTTTTTCTCTCCTCTGATTTTAATTTCCCGTGGTCCTGGGGACTGAACTCAGAGCCTTCACACTGAGCTATGTCTTCATCTTTTTTTTTTTTGCGGTGGGTATCTCACTATGTTGCCAAGTTGTCCAAGCTGGACTTGAACTTGTAGTGATCCTCATGCCTCGACCTCCCATAATATTGGGATAATGGGCATGGCCACAATGCTCAGGTCAATTACTAAGTTTCTAAAAGTTACTTTTCCTGGGTAGTAAATATCAGTGAATTTTAATTGATTGGAATACAGGGAAAACAATAACTGTAGTACGCGTATTGTTAAACACGAGCAAGCAATTCATACAGTGTAAATGAATTATGGTAAAAACATTGGTTATACTGACCACCAGAACTTGTATGTTTAGCTTCTTTGTGTTTTGTGTCCAGTTTATTTTCACCTGTCACTGCTGCCCACCTGCTGTCCCATTTTTAGAAATATTTACTCTCAGCTGTCAGGTGATCTTGTTGAAATATGGCTAACTTCTACATGTCTAAAGGAATTCTTGAATTTTATTTTGAAATCTTGATGCTTTCAGCAAATGAATACTTGCGAAAGGTACTCTTTTTTTGTTTGTTTGTTTTGGTACTGGGAATTAAACTCAGGACCTCATGCTTACCAGGCAAGTATTACACCACTGAGCTATATCCCCAGCTCTAAAGGTGCTCTTTTAAAGAATGAAAACTGTGAGCCACCAGGGTGTGGTGGCTCATGTTTGTAATCCCAGCCCTCAGGAGGCTGAGGTGGCAGGATCGTTGTGAATTCGAGACCAGCCTGGGCTACACAGTGAGCTCAAGGCCAGCCTGAACTGCATAGTGAGAACCCCATCTCAAAAAAAAAAAAAAAAAAAAAGAATGAAGACTGTATTGAGCACCCACTAAATTAAATCATAAAACAACTGGGTATGGTGGTGCATGCCTGTAATCACATCACTTGGGAGGCTGAAGCAGTAGGAGCTCCGTGAGTCTGAGGCTGGCCTGGGTTACAGAGTAAGTTCAAGGCCAGTCTGAGCTGCATAGTGAGACCCTGTCTCAAAAAAAAAACCGTATGAGTGGCCTCCTTGTGAGATCTTCTCTGTGTGTGTGAGATTTATGTTTTATCAACTTCATTATCTCCATTTTATAAAATGAAATTGACTACAGTTTTATTTATTACAAAGTTTTAAATACCTATTAAAGAAATCTGAGTAAATTATCATGTATCTGAAACTATGGAACAAGGCATTTGCACTAAGGCCATTGAGTCTCTATGACATTTGGTTAAGAGAGTACTCAGGCACTATTAGATGTACCTGTGTGTTCACTGTGACATTTAAAGCTGTACTTTAGTCTTGGCCTAGAGCTGGTTAAGAACCTCACAGTCCACTTTGCAGAAAAGAAGTGTTGGCCTGGGGATTTAGTGGCACAAGTGCCTGCCTGGCTAGTGCGAGGTCATGAGTTTGATCCCTGGTACCAAAAAAAGGTAAAAGCCATCAATCTTGTAGTTTGTTTAAAAGTTCAAGCTACCACTGAGCTCCACGCTGCAGCAGCATACGCACAACATGCATCCCAGGGTACATATTTTGAATGTTGGAGGAGTTAGAGCTCCTGAGCATGGGCTGACTGATCATGCACCACAGGTGTTTGTCACGGTGCTTCATGAGAGCCCCCAGGAGCCAAAACTACCTTCCATTGCAGGGAAAAAGGGATTCTTAAGGCAGCATGCTTATTTGTAGGGTAAGTAAATAAATAGGAAGGGAAAAGTCCTTCTTGAGCATATGATGTAGATAAAATTCTTTAAAAGACGGCCATTTAAAAAGAGTGATCTTGAAACAAGTTATAGTTATTAGAGATACCTAAACATTGGGCCAGGACTTAGTGTGGAGTACTTACCTAGCATGTACATGGCCCTGGGTTCAACCCCAAGTTGGGCCAAGGGGAAACCCCCTCAGGAGTCATTAGTGTTGGTTGTAGTTTGTTTGTACTGCCCATTCAAAAGCAGTTCTGACAGACGACTGAGTAGCAATGAAGGCTGGTCAAAACAATTTTAATCAGCTAATGTAAAAATAAGAATCTTTCTTAAATTTTGAGTCTGTACTTTATTTTAGAGTATAAGAAATAGGACCTGTTGAAAACATAAGATAGGTTAGATTGCCAAACAAATAAAAATTTAAAATATGGAAGAGCAACTTATTTGTCCTATTCTTGGCTCTGACATTGACTTGCTTTTTGAGTTACAAAATTATATCACTACACTTCGTAGACGCACATTAAATTCTGTCAGGCGTGTTACATCTATGTTGAAGTGAGCTGGGTGTGTGGTGCACACCTGTAATCCCAATGCTTGGGAGGCTGGGGCAGGAGGATCACCTTGAGTTCAAGGCAGCCTGGGCCACATAATGAGTTCAAGACCAGCCTGAACTACAGAGGGAAACCCTATCTCAAAAAAGAAAACAAAACAAAAGTATATGAAAATCGTTTATGAATACATTGAAAAGGCTCTATGACCAGAGAAAATCCTAAATTTCTGTGAATGAGTAAAAGAGAAAGAAAAAATCTTACAAAGGCCGCCTTCTGTGTAATGATAGTAACAAGGAAGACTTTTCTATAGTCTCTATATCTTATTTTTTTAAAAAAAGGTACAAATTATAGATATTTTACTTCTACTTGTATTTTCTTAGCCAAAGACTCATCATATCCTCAATTAAGATCCTGTTTCTGTTTACATTTTTAAAATGCAGGAAATGTATAAACTGAAAGGAAGAACGTGTCAGATGTAGAGTAGAAAGCATAGCAGCTGAAAACAGGGAATCCCAGATCACTGTACAGTTTTTAAAAAGTCCTTTTTGTTAACATTTCATACCCAGAAGTCCTGACTAGAAAATCCTACAGATACAGTAGATCCTGTCTAGTAATGTATATAGTGTATTTGGCTTAGTTGTTTTTAAAGTTTATAATCTGCAAATTATTCACATTCTTAATTTGAACATTAATTTATAAAAACTGTTGACTGGTGTATCCTTAAAAAACTGCAGCTTACATTGGTCATAATTTTACTGGATCATCTGTTATTTTATTCTAATTTTATTTGATCATCTGTTAGCTGTCATTCTTGTCTTTGGTTCAGAGCTTTATAACTGCAGGAGGAAACATTTCTAAATATGTCCTAAAGTGAGATCCCAAAGTCTGGGAGAACTAAGTATTTCTGAGCAAACAAGGGTTCTTGATAAGCATGAACCATGGACTTAGTTCCACACTGAACATTCTGGGACAGTATTTAACCCGGTTATGAGATTGTCTTAAGGGTGGAAATGGAATACAACACTGAAACAAGTCTTTTGCTTGAGAAGCATGCCTATCAGTTAGTGGTTTACATGTAATTTAACAATAATTAGCACAGTCAAGTTTTGACAGAATATGTATTTACATTCTTATTCCTGGTTCTTATATGCTTGGTTTCTAATATTAGGGTGGAAATGGCCATCGTGAGGGGAAGAATTTTTAGAGAAGCAAGTTTTTTTCAGGTAGTGTTTTCTTTAGTTAATCTTAAAAATACAATGAGATCTCTTCCCTTTTTATTTTACATACAACAGAAATGTAAGGTGAGTCTCCGTAGCCAGCCATTCATGCTGTCTGCATGTTTTTGTTTTGTTAGAAAACATTCACTTCTTCCTGTCTTTTAAGAACTCTCTCGTTATGATGCCTCAATTTAGAATTACAAAGTCATCCCCCTCTACACCTGCTTCTTTACTTGCAGGGATTACTGAGTGGGTAACAACACATCCTGTCACATGACAGACACTGTCCTTATAATGATTTCTGCCCTCTGAGAGTCACAGAACTTCAAAAGTCAATTATCTCCTAGAGTGCCCAGGCTTCCTAAAGTGAGTTCTTAATAATGAAATATCTGATCTGTTGTTTTAAAATCTGCTTGTTACATTACATGATGAAAAACATGTTCTGTTGGTCACTAATAAATAATAATATTTATGGAATCTCTAAAACTTATGGTATTCAAATATTAATTAAATTCCTTTATCTTTTTAAACAATTGTCTGTTCTCTTCTGGTGTCTGTTCCATCTAATAGTGCCTTTTTTATTTTAAAGGGAATAAAGCAAAACAATAAAACAGAACCAAACAAAAAGTGAAAACAATATTGGATTTCAAAAACAAGACAAAAGGAAACCCCTGTAGTTGCTATATTGCATGTTGTTATTCTCTAAAAAGATGCACAGGCTACCAGCTTTAGGCCTGCAAAGTAATGAGACAATGCAAATGTTTTTTACTTCAGTAGGTATCATCTCAGCTTGTGTTCCTCTGAATCAGCAGGTTGCTAATAGGGACAGGGTGGGGGGCTCAGCTCCTCTGTCTCCCAGCCCACATGCCAGCTGGCTCACAGGAGGGAGCCAGCTTCTTGGTTCTCCTCCTGGCCCACGTGGTTGTTGCCAGATCATATGAGGAGTGGGTTGCCTTCTTGGTTCTCCTCTCAGCCTGTGTGGCTGCCCCTGATGCACAGGAGAGAGTTTCTTCCTTGGATCTCCTCCCAGCCTGCAGGGCTGCCTCTGGCTCACAGCAGAGGGTTGGCTTCTTGGCGCTCCTCCCAGGCCACATGGCTCACGGCAGAGGGTTGGCTTCTTGGTTCTCCTCCCCACTTGCATGGCTGCTGCGGGCTCACAGGAGGGGCGGGTTCCTGATAGGGCCTTTTTTGAGGTACAGACTTTTCCTATTTCACAAAATAAATTAGTCATTGCCTGATGAGACAGAATCAACATGCTAACTCAGTTCTCTC